ACGGTATTCGTATATGTGATCCGCAAGCAAAGTTCAGTTTCAGTAATAAAGTATTAAAAAAAAAGTTTTTAACACGTTGAATAAAAAAAAGAGAAAAAAAAGTCGAAAGTTGTGATATAAAGAAAGTATGTTCGACATGATATGGATCGCGCGCGTTGTGCCATCAAGAGCGAATACTTCACAGACTCTAATTGATCCAGGTAAGCTCTGTGATGCTACTGATGCAGATTATTCACTGCTACATTCGGTCGGTACGTCTAAAAGAAAAAAAAAAGTTAACTTACCAAATAAGAGGGAGATTGGAATGGGTTACATTTAAAGATCTTAATCAAAACATTCCCGTTCCCGTCCGATTTAAAATTGCCCGCCGCCTTCTAACAAGTCTCATTGATTTACAGGCTGAAATACAGTTCGACATGTCCGACTCTGGTACAGACAGTACTTCAACGGAAGGTTATGATGAAGGTAATCGACTTACTTCTGCCGGGGATGAGGTAACATCATCACGCTATTCGCATCACTCTTCCGGATCGGAGCGACAAAAGTCCGCTGCGAACTCCATCTTCTCTGGGGAAAAGTCTCCCCGATCGCCGTTATCAGACGGCGAATCCAAGTCGCCACGGTCTCCCCCGTTATCACCGAAATCGCAGCGATCCGGGATAATGTCTCCTAGTGAGGAAGGTGGTTCCCTAATATCGATTCGTAGTTTATCAAAATCTCCACCGCCAATGTCACCGCCACAGTCACCCGAATCGCCAGCATATCGCCCTCCCGCATCGCCGACATATCAACCGAACGACTCTCCAAAGTCCTACCATTCAGGAAACAACTCTCTTGACTCACCCCTAACGGACCGGAGTCTGTCTCGATCGCCCATACAGGACAACGGGTCGTGTCTCTCCCCCTCGAACGATTCTAAATCTATGCGTTTTGAAGACGCCGAGTCGAAGGCGTCTGATCCCGAAACAGATATGCAAAGATCTGTCAACAACTCATTAAAATCATACTCGTACAAGAACAGCGAGTCCAGGCAAAGTTCACCAAAGTCGCCTACATCTGGTCCGAGTTCCGTGAAATCTTTAATATCGGCGAGGAGCTCACCGAAGTCGTTCAAATCCGGTCCGGCGTCTCCTATAGATGATCACGAATTGGACAAACCCTCACCGGTGCATTCAGACCCTCGTTCTCCCGAAGAGGAAAAGAATGGGTCCTATAACGAATTGGACGGCGAACAAATCTCGGATGGAGATATTGAGGACGAACCAGAGCCCATGTCTAAATCTAAACCTACACCTATGACCCATAGCGAGGATTTGTCAGATGTATCGGATCTTGAAAGTATAGATGGTCCTGAAGACTCCAATGATCAAAACATAGAAGTAGACAAGGCTCAAGAACAGACTGATAAACAAGAAATCACTAATGACGAAGAAAATACGAAAAAAGAAGATAAAATTACACCAGTTGGCTTGACAGAAGAAAGTGAGCAACTAGACTTTGAAGCTGATGGTCAATGGAAAGACGAACGTGACGAAGGTAAATATATAAATTTTAAATTACAAATCCAATTTTTATATATTTAAATTGTACAGCTAAATATTATAATAAGATCATTCCATAAAGGTTTCGTTAAACAAGGCGTATGTATAAAGTTGCATTTGCCATAAATATGATAAAATTATAGGTGAAGCTGAGGCGCCTACTGCAAAAGAGACTAAAGAGAATACAGAGAAGGATAGCAAAGACAAAGATAAAGATAAAGACAAGGACAAGGATAAGGCAAAAATAAAAGAATCTGGCGAAATAAATGATAAAGAAGAAGGAGAAGAGGGAGAGAAAGAAGAATCTGAGTTGGAGGAGGGAGAGCTTAGCGATGGAGATGACGCACGACCCGAAGAGACTGAACCCAGACCAGTATGTCGCTTCTATAGTCGGGGCCAATGTACATGGGGCGTTAGTTGTAGATTTTTACATCCAGGTGTGACAGACAAAGGTAACTACACTATGTTCGATATGGTGAGGCCTATGGCATATCCGCCACACGCTGCCGCGCCACACGAATATAGATCCCACATCGACAGACCGAGTATGCGACCGTCGATACCTGGTTATGGTGCTCCTACACACACACCTAAGGTGGAGGAAACTCCGTCTGAATCTGCCTGGGAACGCGGTCTGCGCCATGCCAAGGAAGTAAGTTGGGTGCAAGATATTGTTATGCATGGCACTATGCATGTCTCGCATTTATAATGTTTTATAAACAATTTTCAATCTAAAATGTGTATATCAAGTTTTAACGAAAATATTTTCTCGCCCGATTATCTAGATGATGCGAAAGGCCAATAAACGCAAAGAATCAGATATGGATTTCGAAGAAAAGAAAATGAACTTGAGTTTAGGACAGGATGAACTGGATAGAGAAGCGGGATACTACGTAAGAGCTGCTAGTCCTGAGCCATCGGTCGAAAGATGGCCACAACGAGAAGTACCACGCCGAGTATCATCTTCTAGACTAACGCCGGAAAGATATGTTGACGAGCCCGAAGGATACTATCCTCCTCCGTCCGCGTCAACTGACTATTACAGGTGAGATAACGAAACGGTCGTATTTGGCCAAGCTCTAACTAGAAAGAAAATTATTTCTACGTTGTATATTCAGTCCTACTGAAATACTTTGCAATCCAATCTATTTTTAATCTTTTTTTTTTTTAACAACTAGGCGAGTACATTACAAAGAGTCACGCGAGTATCGGGAACGTTTTGATTATCATGCGATTCCTCGTGGTGCGCATTCGGTTTCTCCGCCACCCCACCATCGTGAACGCGAGAGAGAACGAGATCGTGAGCGTGACAGAGAACGTGATTATTATGAGAAGTACGAAAAGAAGCATAAGCGGCCGTCGCGGGAAGTCATTGTAGAACGTATCCCTCCATCGAAACCCTGGCGAGAGGAAGAACCACCTCCTACTGAAAGGAGTAGAGGTGACGAATGGGCGGATCCATGGATGCGGCGCAAGTCCCCGAGCACTGTACGCCGTAATACGTCGTCTCGCCGACAACCCCGGCGGCAATCTTATTCGTCTGGATCTTCGTATTCATCAACGAGGTATTACTTATATTCATATGCGATTGATAATATTAAAGTCTTACAAAGAAGCGTTTTATATATAGAAATTCTCTATCTGAAGGAAGATCTGAAGATGACTTATTGAGAATACATTCAATAATATTTCTCACATGAAGAGATAAAGAGAAAATGAAGATAGTCGAGAATGCGTTATCTGCATTTTTTTCAAAGTGTTTATCGTGCTACTTTGTTATATGTATAAAAACGTATTGGAGTATCGTCTTTTTAGTTCTAGCCGTAGCTCCAGTCGTTCTAGCTACAGTTCTTACGACTCCCTATCCAGGTCTCGTTCACCTTCCCCTCCGACTAGAACTCGGTCTACTGGCAAAAGCAAGACCACTGTTCTTACTTCACCTCCTTCAAATCCCCCGGCTGTCCCCGCAGCCACGCCTCAACGAGGTGCCATGCTAATGAATCCTCCCGCTCCCTCTCCTCGTCCACCCAAAGGTTCTATCTCTCCAACGGGCACGCTGCATCGAAGGGCCGGACTGAATCCACCTGCCCCAAGTCCACTATCGTCTCATCGTCATCACGACAAAGCCAGGGAGCAAAAGGCTGCTATGGCTGCAGCTGCTGTGGCTAAAATCATTAAAAGTCGTTCTAGATCTAGGTAAAAAGAGATGACTCTTATTAATCAAATAGTTAAATTGAAAGTGAAAGGTATAACTTCAAAAAATTCTCAATTTTTTGACGTTCTTACTAATTCTTGCGCTGATATATGCGTAAATCCGATGCAAAATTTAAGAAAAATTTATTTTAATAATATAACAAAGTTAGTATTATAAACTCATTCGATTAACAAATCTAATCTTAGAAGATATTTCTTGTGGTTGTGTTGTTTATAAATATTGTACAAAAATAAAGAAACAAGGAAAGGAAAAAAAATACGTTTCAGATCGTCTCATAGTAGTTCGGGATCGGAGAGCAGTGGAAGTAGTAGCGACTCCAGCGAATCAAGTTATTCGTCGTCCTCCAGCGAGACGCGTAGAAGAAAGGATTCGACACCGCCGATACCACGCAAAGATTCCAAAGGCATCGACGCTTTGAAGCTGAGCGGCGCGAAGCAGCAGATTAAGTTAACGCTGAAGCCCACGAGCAATGTTACAGCCGTAAAAAAGATCGACCGTAGTGCACTTATGGCAGGT